TTCCTCAGCCTGCTGCATCTGTGAGTCTCACCAAGCCTGGGTGATGCCCAGGGCATCAAAGTGAACCTGGTGGTGGGGACAGCCATGGAGATGGAAAGTGGATCAGAATTTGGATGATCATCACAGCCTGACCTCGGAACCAGCGAGGCCCCAGGCCAGACCCCAGTCACGGCCCATGAGGCTGAGACCACCCAGGGGGCTGGATCCAAAATCAGAACCATTTTTGCGAAATGGGAGAAATACTTTCCGCTTCTGGAAATACTGTGGGACGAGTTGTTTTTCTCAGCTTGAATGCTCTGGGGAGGCTTGAAATGCTTGCAGAAGGTGCCAAAGCTGAGCAGGGGTCTCCCAAAGCTAATGGGTGCCTTAAGAACAGCCCTTGCTCCCCGCCTGGCACGTGGAAAACTCTTTACTAAACAAGGGGGAATTATCTACTTTGGGATAGTGGAAAGATCTTACGAAAATGGAGCTGAGCCACCCACTGAGGACTTTAAGCTTTCTGCGGCTTTGCCAAGTGACACACGAAACCCTCCCGATGTTGATCTGTCGCCTCTTCTCAACAGGAGGAGGGTATTAGCTGTCCCGTCCGTGTTAACGGGCTGACACGGTTCAACACGGATGTCGGTTCAAATATCCTAAAAACCAGCCTGGTTTTCAGCCAGAGGAAAAATATTTCAGAAGAAAAAAAAAAGACTATTCCCAAAAATGCAAAATTTCAGGCCCAGGCAGGGACCCTGACACTGTTTTTAGATATTTTGGGGTATTTCGAGGCCCCCCCACCTGTCTCCGAGACGCTCACCACATCTCCGCATCCCTGGGGCTGCAAGGCTGGGCCGGGGCCTCGTGCGGTGCCAGACGGGGCGGCGAGCCCCCTCTCCTCCCTCCCACCAGCTCCTGCAGCCCCAGCTCCGGGGGTGAGTGATGCTCACGGTCGCGTCCATCGCTCACCGTCCCCTCCGCCTCCCTGGGACCCTCTCTCCAAGGCACAACATCAGGATATTCGGGATGGGGAACCCCCGAGCGGTCTGTGTCCGTGCCTGGACCACCCACAGCATCCCCAGCTCTACGTTACGGGTGTCAGCATTTCTTCCTACGCTTGAACTCAAGAGGACTTTATCGGAGATGGCCAAGCCCACCACCGAGAAGGTGTGGATGTCCCGGCCGTTTGCTCCCCCGGAGCACGGGTGTGCAGAGGTGCCAGGGCGCGGGGCAGCTCTCCAGCCTGGCACAGCTCGGGGCAGGTTCTGGATTCCAAAAGGAAATCCAGTGATTCGGGAATTATAATTAGGGATGGTCAACGACGCAATAATTTTAGGAGCATCTGAAGGAAGCCAGACACTTGACCCAAAGCTAAAAAAAATAATACTGCTGCTACAACTGTGGTTTATTTTTTCTTTTTGTTTTTATCTGAGGAAAACCCACCCGCAGACTTCAGCGATGTTCCAGCGGCGAGGCGCTGCCAGCCTCCC